ATGCACGAGAGACGGTCTTAACTTTCCCCCTGCTTTCCTCCAAGGCTCTACACCCTGAAAGCATTTTGCACATCAAGAGAGAAGCCTGGAGTGAGTAACAAGACCTTCAATGACGTAGCAAAGCTGGAAGGGGTCAAATCCCCATCAACCAACCAGGTTCTCTCAAAGGATGGACAGGAGCTGGCAAGGCCAAGAGGAAGGGTTCCAGGAAGGGAGCGAAGGAGCAGAGAGAGAAGCAAAGGGTATGACTGGTCAGTGGCAGGAAGGGAGTCAACAGGACAGCAGGGAGGGCTCACCAAGGGCCACTGAACTACTTTAGAAAATCAGTAAGAACCTGACAGCTTGTTGAGTTCTGGAATCTGATTTTAAAACTGGGATTTCATGCTCATGTAGGGTAAAAATAAGTGTGACGAATGGGCACCTGTCTATAAATGCCACACGAACTGTCTCCCTCTGCAAGCAAGCAACATATGAGCACAGGATCCGGGAGGGAGTTTCTTGCCCTTGAACTGGCTATGACTGAATCCTCACCCAACATTCCAGATCAGATGGGTGCCTCTTAGCTCTAAGAGAGATTTTCAGTTTTGTGCTAAGGCTACTCTCTATGCTGGGTCTTAGCCTTGCCCTTTGCATAATGCACAGAACCTTACGGGACAGAACCAGACCCAGGCTCACCATCACTAACAAGCTCAGGCTCAAGAAGACCGAATGATGAAGAAAAGTGTTTGGACAAAGTAGGACTCATCTCTATACCTGAGACAATGCATAGCCAAAAAACCCCCAAAAAACAAAACAAAAAAAAAAAACACCAAAAAACAAAACAAAACCTCAAAAATGCCCTTCTACCCAGACATCCGCCTCCTCTGATAACCATTAGGCTTAACCATAATAGGACACTCAGAGCAGAACTTGGAGAGCTTCAAGGTCTGGTTTTAGGAGTCTCTGGCCAAGGTACATACTGTCTCACCCATGCTACGAGGCAACGAGGTTAACAGAGACTACAAACTCACCAACCGAAGTCAAAGAGACAGGAATGCATGTGTATTCCTCTCAGCTGAGACTGATTCTCTCGCTCCCTGCCTTGTAATCTCTTTATATACATATATGTCTGTTTATGTATATACACCTATATATACATATGTATATCTTGTGTACATAGCTATATATGTATGTATAGTGTGCATATATATGTATATATAAAAAACACACAGAGAATAAGAGAGGCAGGAGAGAGAATATATACATACTCACACATACGCATAAATATATAGTACAATTCAATTCCATTCAACTTTGTTAAATTCGACCCACATTTAGAGTGTCTGCCATGTGCTACCCTACACTCGGCACTAGACACAGACTTAGCGAAGAGTGTCACCAACACCCATGAGCTCACCAGCCAGAGGGGAGACACTCTAAAACCCAAACACCAGCATGGCAACCACTTATAATGGGAGTCCGCGTGGCTCGGTGGTTCTAGATCAAAGGTGGTTATTATATGTGCTTGAATCATGCTGGCTGGGTTCAGGTCCCACTCCACCATGTTCAAGCTGTGTGACCGTCAACACACAACTTGAGCCACAGGCTCTCATTAGTGATATGAGCATCTACAACAGCGCCTTCTTCACAGGGCAGTGAGGAATGAACGGTATAACTAGCAAAAGCACAGACATGGGCACACAGAATGCATTCAGTAAAACGGAGCTTTTATTATCACAACTATTATTCTTCTTCGAAAGACTGTGAGGTTCTGAAGAGGGGCGCACAAGAAAGAAAGGGGTGTCAGGAGAAGCTTTAGGGAGGAGGTGGTATAAGAAATAGGTGTTTGTCAGGAGAACAATAGGGAGAGAAGGCATTCCAAGGATTAAAAAAAGAGTTTGTTCAAAGGCCCTGAGGCATGAAACATCCTGGCAGGTCCTGAGAACTGCCAGCAGGTCAGCACAGCAGAGTAAGGGTTCAAGGTCAAAGAGAAGCCAGAATCAGATCTGAAAGGGCCATCAGAAAGCCTCAAACAATGGAATGTCGAAATCAGATTTGCTTTCAGAAAGGTTTAGGTAATATCCAACTGAACATGATTTTGCCATTGTGAGGACCAGTTATCACGAGCACCACCAGAATATATTAACGCCACCAAACAGAAGACTCGCTGTCACGTGTATGTTCTTTCCTCTGTTCACAAGTCTTCAAGTTTTTTGTTGCTTTGTTTCAATATACTAAATCACTGGCTTATTTCCCATGCTGGTTTCATGGCTGCAAGAACGTCTTTCTTTACCACTAATATCTTACAGAATAATTTTTAAATATCCACCTTCCTAACCACTATGAGGGGCTTCAGTGGCCACATCTTAGCATTCGTTGAGAGCCAGACACTAACATGTTTGCCCTCGAAGTCCGCAGACAGCCATTATGGGTGGCGGGTCACGTCCGGCGGATAGAGGCAGATAGGGGAGGCAGAGCCATGGTGGGGGTCCGTACTGGAACTAGAAGCAAAATCATATCCCAGGACAAAACCAGGAAGGTGACTGAAGGAGAAGAAAATGAACATGTGCCAAGCACCAAAGGAATGGACGAAAATGCAAAGTGGACCCCTGGAGGGCATTCAGTGACCAAGGAGGTCCCTGGAAAATTGGAAACAGGCAACTGAACTGTCTGGAGGTATCTAGATTCATTTGCTCACATAGCATTCACGAGGTCAGCCTATGAGGCGATACTATGAATTCCTTCCGTTAGCGTCTGTCTGTCCTGGGTCTGAAGAGAACATGGTGACGTGGTTTCCAGCCACGGAGGACTTAGCGCCACGGAGAGAGGACTGACTGCCAGTGGGCCCTGATAAGGACCAGGTATTCCCTTGGTGAGCCCACAGAGGCCATCTCCTTTGATATTCATTCCCCGCCATTGAGAAAATCAACAGATGGGAACAGTCTCCTTTCTGACCCCAATTTTCACTGTTCCATATCTGAGATAACAGAGGCAGCAGGCGGGACAGAGAGTTGGAAACTGCCGGTTTCAGACGCCTATGACTGTAGTCTCCCTCCTCCTCCCCAGAACTGACCTCTTTGGATCTGGTCTTCAGATTTTCATAAAATGAATGTGGGTTTTTTTTTTTTCTGATGCATTTTCCCCCCTTTGATTTAACAAGCATGACCCGCAGATGCTCATGCCTGAATCCTGCCGTTCCCTGTTAGACGGACCACTGACATGCACGCTGTGTGTTTGCACGTGTTCCAGTGTGGGTGTGTCCAGCTCAGGACGAACAGGGAGTGCTGTCACCCCCCACAGGACCCGCCAGTGTGCCCAAGCCAAATTCTGCACTCAGGTGTCCTCTCAGTGCCACGGGAGGGCCTCTTTGCTCTAGCTGCTGCAGCCTGGGGCTCCCAAGTAGTTATTGCTTAAGTTGTTAAAAAAAAAAAAAAAAAAAAAAAGTGGGAGAAAAAACAAAAAACTGAAATAAAATAATCGTATCAACCTCTCATGTGGCACTGCAACTTAGCATGTATTTTAGGATGAACTGAGGAACTCAAAGAGCATTTCAGGAACAAGTAAAGCAAGTGTGGAAAAAGCAGGTCTCTACCAATTGCTCTTTGTTTTCCAGGCAAAAATTTCTCCCTTGAAAAATCAAATCAGCAGTAACTTATTTGTTGAACACCTACTATGTGACAGGCACGCAACATCCAGCTGCACATTACATGATTTCTTTTTCATTACCGTCTTCCCTGGAAAACATTCAAAGCATCGAGCTGGATGTTTTAGCTGTTTTCTCTTCTAGCAGTTTTCCTATTATGAATGCCTTCAGAAGCTTAACACTCTGAGGGCTATGCAGAGTTTTCTGGGTCTTTTTTTGGTCTGTTTTGTTTTCGTCCTACTATTTTTTTTTAACCTAAAACTTTCCCTTTCTCTTCCTACTTTCTGATTTTAGGGAGGGGAAAAAAAAATCTAGCATCTGGGGTCTGAGACCACTTGAAATGTCTGGGCCAGGGATTGCTAATGACCTCCCAGAGATAACCCAAATTGCTGATTTAGCAAAGCCCATTCTTGACCTTGACACAAGACAAGACAGGCAGAGGGAGAGGACTTGCCAGGCAGCAGTGAAAGAAGACGGATCCTGGAAGCGCTCAGATCTCCCCAGGCCCCCTCCCCCATTCAGCAAACACCTGGCTGAGTTGGAAAACAGGACGGGTCCAACCTTCCTATTGGTACCAATTGAAGCTGTCAGCTCTCGGCTTGTCACCAGTTGCACTGGGAGGCCCCGGGCAGCCACAAGAGCCCTAATTAGGCAGAAATGACACTTCTACAACTGACCTGCCAGGACCTTTGGCAAACCATTTAACATCATTAGTTAACATTTTTAAAAAGTGTGAATGTAAATGAACAGCCAGTGGCTTTCAATGGAGTTTGTCGGTGGCATCCCCCCCACCCCGGCCCCCGCCCCCCAGCTCACTCTTTCTCTTTTTACATGAATAGTCCACTTGTTTCCTCCAGAATTGGAGGGAGGCACTGGGCAAGAAGGAAGAAGAGGACCAGTCCTCTGTGGGGAGAGACATGTTAAAGCATAAACAAGCTTGAAGGAGCCCGAGACCATCTCTTCCTGCCTCGGGACAGGCCTGAACTCTCACACGCAAGCCCCAGAGCCGGAGGAGCCCGGGCAGAGAGGGGACAGGAGTGCACCCAGCCAGGTCCCGCTCCGCAGCTGTGCTGGGGAGTGTAGATGTCCGCTGTTGCCCATTTTCCAAGCTCTGAGTAGGTGGGAAATAATTTCAATTCCCGACTCAAGGGTGCTTCTGAAATACTCATGCTCTCATGCCTCTTACCACTCGTCAGCGCTCTGAACGACCAGATGTTCTGCAGTGGTTTGGCAAATATCTTGCATGTGCTTTAGGGTAACTGTACCAGCTAGAAATGGGCCTCATCCCTCTCCAAAGGAATGAAATCTGCTGGGGGCGGGGTGGGGGGACGACTTCCGACGCCAGTTTGGTACTTGCACAAATCCATTCCTTTCCTACCTGAAGCTGGTATTTCCCACCTGGAATCACACTTCACTTTGCTCTTCGCTGCACACCCACAGAGTCCGTACACGCCAACACTCTCCATCTGTAGGAAGGGGGAGAAGAGTTTCACTGTGAAAATGTCCCTTTGTCTGTCTGCTTCTGCGCCATTCTCAAAGCATGTGTTCATGCTGGGAGACAGGTGGAAGAGGCCGCACAGGGTAGAAGGGAAGCAGAAAGGTAAAGGTGGTTAGCAGAGGGGTCAGCTTCCTCAGGGCCTTTGCACTTATCACCCACTCGTTGTGTGCCCTTGGGCAAGGTGCTTTGTGCTGAGTCTCAGATGTTTTCATCTGTAAGACCAAGATAATGCCTTACTACCTCCAGTGGGAAAAAGAATAGATGTGGGACATATCATGCGAGCCGGAAAGCCCCATGTAAAGGCAAGGATTTCCAGACCTTTGAGAGCTGCCAAAACTGAGGCATGATGCCAGGTTCTCAGCTTAGTGAGACTCTGTCCTCTTGCTTCTCAAGAGAGACTAGACAAAGCCACTACACCACCAGCACATGCCAGATCCCTCCCTGCCCCCCCCCCGCCCTACCTCCACTCCAGCTTATTCTCCAAAGGGCTGTAAGTACCACAAAGACAAGTGCATGGGTGCAAGACCAATTCCTAAAACCCATGGTCCTATCAGCTCTTTGGCCTCTCTGCTGGACCCTAAGCAGTAGGGGAGGGGAGGCACATCTGTCTATCTCGGGATTTCCAGAAGTCCCTACGACAGCGGTGGGGACACAGTAGATGCCCAGCAAAGGTTTACTGCGTTGAAATGCAATTCATCTTCCAGACATGTGCTGATAGCAGCTGGAATGTGTGCTTTACTAAGGCAGCCCAGATCCCAAATTGGGAGAGCCTGACTTGCCCCTGAATTCAGAAAGAGTCAAATCAAGCCTGCAGCATGTGGTGGCGAATGCCTGCGAGGTAGCAGTAAGAGAGAGAACCGAAAGAAAACAATCTTAGTTTGGAGCAGAAAGAGGGAGAAAATACTGGAAAACGTCCTTAATAACAGTAAATGGGAAAGGGAGGGAAGAGCTCCTCGTGATGGAGTATTTAGTGCTTTTAAGCTAAATACCTCAGCATATTAAGCAAATAGAGAAAAGCCAGCTAGAAGATGTCAGCAAATTGAACCAAACGGTGCTCAGAAAGCTCAGAAAGCCGATAGGAGGTGTCTGGGTTTGACCCCTTTTCCCATCACATGCCTGGTCTGCGCCCGCGCGTTTAGTGTTGCTTCTCCTCTCCAGCTGCGGGGCTTATTGAAAAGCTCTTGCTCCCTGCCTGGTTTTGGCACATTTTCTGCAGGTGCCTCCTACTGTGGCCACAATGGGCTGCTCGGGAGGTTTAGACCTGTCAACAGCTCCGGGGGAGGGGGCGGCGGCGGCGGAGGGAGCGCAGCCGCCGTCTTAAAGGGCCAGTGACACCGTGTGCCGCAGAGCCTGCCGCACTGGCACCTGCTAATGAGATGAATCCCTTCTCCCGCTCGCTCTTTCTCTCTTTCACGATTTAACTTGATCGTTTTGGCCCCTCTCTGGTCAGGGAATTGCTCTGTTGATAATATAAAGTAATTGCCTGTAAAACATTTCTCCGCAACAACTACTCCCTTCCCTGGCTGAAAATGTCACAGCAATTGAAAGCTCTTAGCCCAGTTCAAGAATGAGGTTGCTCAGGAGAATGGTCTTTGCATAGGTCTCCAAGCACTCGCGGGTTCCCAGAGTTGCAAGTTCTCGGTGTGTCTACTCGATTTTTAAGACAGGGACTGCTCCCTCCTGTAGCTCAGGAGGATGTTGTGTGCGATTGTGGGCAACTAACCAGACTAAAAACTCCCCTCAACGCCAGAATGAGATGGAGTTGGTTCAGGGAAAGACATTATTTTCACCACCGTGCCATTCTTGTCTCAGAAGCCCCAAATTCCGAGGGATGGCTGGCTACATGGGTCAGAGGGATTTACGAGAGCCTCTGCGTTCTCATCCTATAAGGAGAAGGCATCTTTGTCTAGGAGGGAGTGGGGGCCTTGGTTTTCCAAAGTGGAATCGATGCTCTAATTGTTTAAGGTTTGCTGATATATTTTTTTCAGACCTGTCACTTGGCGGCAGCAGTGACACACTGTGGGAGTGGGGACAACACACTTGCGTTTTCATAAATACTTTATTAGTCATTGCCACGCCAACGTGGGGAGTAATTCACCTGGAGAAAAAAAATCACTTTGTCTTAGGCATGAACCCGCCAGCAAAATAAACACTGGTTAGTGACGGTTTCATTTTCCTCTGACAGGTGAAAGTTTAAGTCTCTATCTGAGGGAAAGAGAGAAACTTTTTGCCTTTTAATTGGTGAGAAGCACAACTTGCTAAATGAGAGCCTGCCGTGTTACTAATTCGGGAACAAAGCCTCAGGTGACTCACCTTCCAGCCGGATAAGCCCTGAATATTTTTTGTAGCAGATGAAGTAAGGGAGGCAGACATGTTTATTATGGTAATTTATCAGAAGGCAAAAACATCCGCCGGCTTACTTGACAAACTAGGGTATAGAGAACGCAGCTACCAAAAGGCCATTTAAAATTATAAATCTGAGGAAAGCCACAGAACTTTTTCCAGCTAACCCTCTGAGAGGCCGCGGTACGAGATCCACAACCCAAAACAGATGCAGCACTTTTTTCTCGGAATTTAGGAATTTTAGACTTTAGATTTTTAAGTCTTGTAATGCTGTCAGAATATGCCAGATATTCAGTTGGGACAATTACACGTATTATACCAAAATAACCACACTAACTGTATATCATAAATGGTATTTTTCCTTTACCCATAACAAAGAGGATTTTAAAAATCTTTAATTTAAACTCATTAAATAAGTTGATTCCTGAATAGAAGAATTATGTTGACAGCTTTTTGCCAGCAACTAGAGGTTTTTCTATTTGCTTAGATGAAGGGGTGTGTGTGTGTGTGTGTGTGTGTGTGTAAAATGACAGCGTGGAACTAAATGACCTAAAAGTTCTGCGCGGTTCTATGATTTTCTTATCTATAAAGACGATTCCTATCACAGAAACACATAAGCAGTAAATATAACCACACAGTTATTTCTAACAGCTTTGCCTATTAGACAGGCGGTCAATGGGTTAAGTCCCTATAGCCACAGCTAGGAGAGCCTGGACCACCAGGGCTGGAATCCCAACCCCTTGCAAAAGATGGCCCAGGAAGCAGGAATGTGAGGAAGGTGGCCCTGGGGTTGGGGGGGGGGGTGCTTGCTGCTGGTGCTCAGGCTGGTGTCCTCCGCATGAACTCCCAGAGAGAGCCTGGGTGGACAGTGTGAAGGGGGGAGAAAAAGAATGTGTGAAGGGGGGAGAAAAAAAAAATGTGTGAAGAGGACAAAAACAAGTCAAACAAGCACACGGTCAGTGGAAAGAACGTCCACGCTGACAGCAGCTCCAGGACTGGTTTCACTTTTGCATCCTCCTTTTTCATATGTCTGCACACAATGTAAGAGGTCTGAATAGAATTCCAAAGTGCGGAGACAACAAAATGGGGATTTGCGTCTCCTTGCCCATGCGGATCCTCAAAGCACGTCTGAAACCACCTGACTGCACAAGGTAGAAATTAACCTTGGGTGACGTGTGTTTGAACTTTGCACTAAACAGCGTTTGTCAAGATGGTGGGCATGTGTTTAAGAAGAAAAGAATGTATTTTAAAATGCTGCATCATTCCTGTGTCCGTGCATACCTAACTGGTGAAATGTTCACACCAGCAGTGAGAGCTGTACCCCGGGGCTAAAATGTGATTGTTCTCTAGGGTAAAAGCTAACATTTTTCATGATCAGATCTTTGCATGTACTTATGTCGTGAGAGCCACAGACATTTGTTTCAACCTGAGGCCCTTTGTTTATTTAGTGTTTGCTCTATTTGCTACTGCTATGTATTCCCTAAAAGTTAACACCCAGAAACGTTAAGATCCTTTACACTGGAATAAAAAGTTCACATCAAGCGCAACAGGACCTGTTGAAATGTTTGTATTCCAGATAGAAGGGGCACTTAACTTTCCAGTTAGAAAATGATGTCAGTTTAAAATCTGCTTCATAGCTCCTGAATTAACAGAACCACCGGCTAAGGGAAGAAAAAGATTTTGCTCCTTCTTCCCTCGGTGGAATGTACAGGCTCATTCTCAGTCAACACTGAACCCGCAGGGTTTGTGAGGACGTCAGACAACACGGAAGCCATCTAAGCAGACTTCACCCCTTCCCTGCCCCCAAGAAGAGCTGGGTTCTACTTTGTTTCTTACAATTTTCTTAGAATTACATGCTGCCAAGTTTCCTTTTCTTCCGAAAGTCAGAAAGCACTAAGTAGCCAAGAAACGATACCATACTGTCTCTCTCCAGTTTGCGTAACACAGGATTACAGTCCCTTTCCTCCAATCCAAGCCTTCCAGAGCTCAGCTTAGTTTAAAACATCCAACTGAGACAGATGCACTTGAGAATCAACACAAAGATGACTGACCCAAACGACTAGCTGCAGACACCAGCCATTAAAAACCTGACAATTTTACCTACGTATCTTGTGAAAAATAGACAGGATAAGCTAGCGCAAGGTGTATATGCTGAAGTCTAAATTCGGAGAGCGAGGGGATGTTGCTCAGAAACAGGGTGATCAGAGGGGCTGATCCTGATGTGGTACCTGAGCCTTTGCCCCAGAGGGTACAGGCTCATGCGTGTGACATTTTTTGACCCACCAGCAAGGGGCAAATTTTGTGCCAAGCTGCGTTGCATTTGTTTCTTAGCATCAGGACTTGGAAAGAGCGTAACAAGTTCAAGGCTTGTCCCTAGTAAATTAAAGTCAGACTCAGACAATATGTACTAGGGAAGGTAAAATGGTGATTTTTAGTTAAACACACACAAAAAAACCAACACATGGTGATTCCTCCTATTCTCATATAACAAATAATACATGGATATAAAGTCTATTACAAATACAAATGAAAAGTTCTGTAAATCTTCAATGCCTAGTTTTGATTGCATTTCCTGCTTTTGCATTTAGAATTGTCTCAAGAGAAGACAACTATTTTCCAACAACA